AGCAAAAGTGACACTACTTTGAACAGATTTGGGAAATCAGGTTGTTCCGTAAATATCGCTTGCCATTTTTCTGTGCAATATTATTGATGTAAAAATACTCTGAATTTAGAATAATCGCTTACAAAATTACTATGTTTACTTAAGGCCTTAAATAAAGTATTTTTGCGTACTTTATGTGTCTTGTAAAGTATAACGTACGCACAGTCGAAATAGAGTACAATACTCTATAATAAAGTACGGGTGGCAACCCTAGGCATGACGGGAAATACGTACGTGATAGAGAAGCTTATGATTTAATTAGCAATAGACAATATGCTAAAAACACTACCCCCTCCTTTCCTTACCTGAAATTGGTAGATTCAAAAAGTTTTGTAAATGTTTTACTGAATAATCTGTGCAATACTTATTAAATTTATAATTTCCAAAGGAATTAAATAAAGACTGGCTAAAGATTATGCAACAAAATAAAATTGTAATGTTGATTTTAATCTTATGTACCTAGATAATCCTCAAATCTTTAATTTCGCTAATGAAAGCGGGTGTCATGTTACACTTGACAATTCTGCAGTAACGTAGACAAAAACAATTTCATTCCTTTAGTAACGATCAAGAAAAGTTGCTCTATCTGTTACGTAAGTAAACTGATGTAAACGTATGTCCTTATAATGTGCCAAGTTCGCGTTTTGCAAGGATTCCCCGGGATTCTAGACAGAGGACGAGTCTCCAACTCAAATTCGCTAATTGCTTCCCATTCGTCAGAAACTTTAGCGTGTTTGAGTTTCCCGTAGGCGTTTCCTTACCCGACAAAATAAAACAAAAGAAGCTGCTTCCCGATAACCTTATCACGTGATTGTATATATGCATATTACATGCGGTGGTAGCAATAGTAATACTTTATCCGTTCTCCGTGGTGGCTGTAATGAGAGTAATTGCACCCTCAAGAATTTTTAAACAAAACAAAAACCAATACCACAAGAGCAAGTATTTTAGTTTGGTCACATCCCGAGATAAAAATGTTCAGTCTCTCAGAGTCTCTGAAAGCGAGACTCGAATCTCCGTCTCTCATCGAGTCTCTCTGGTGTCGCTGAGAGAGACTGTCGAGAGACTTTTTAGCGTCTCTGAACGAGAGACTCGAATCTCTGAACGAGAGACTCCAATCTGACAATAAGTTGTGTCTCGAGAGACATGGTTAAAATTTTCTAACTTCAACATATTTCAGAGATCCCAGTCTTTCTACGAGAGACTCGAGTCTCTCAATTTTTCAGTTTTATTCATTCAGTCTCTATGTGAGAGACTTGAATCTCTGAATTAACAATTTTATCGTTCAAGTCTCTCATACAGAGACTGTGAGAGATCCATAAAAACACCTAGGCAATAACTGAGGGACTGTGAAAGACTGTGAGAGACGCTCTCAGAGACGTTAAAAGACTCTGAAAGACTGGAGAGAGACTGAAAATTTTTGTCTAAGAATTAGGTAGTGACAAATCGAAAATTGTGTTTTAGTGGGTGGTGCGTTTTCGCGGTTATGATGAAGAAATTGCAGAGAAAAATCGTATCTACAAAAAAAAAACAATTGTATGTACTAATTTTATGTTTATGATTTTGCCTAAAGTTGAATTTTTTTATTTTAAAATTAAATACTTCCGCGTATTATTTATTCATACTCATCTTAACTTTTTAAGGGGTTTTTAGTGCTTCTAGTCGACCATAATAAGGGTAAACTTAAATGTAATAGACCAGTCATAAAAATGCATATCAATATATAATTTAATAATATGTTATTTGCTGAATTAAATAAATGAGAAGACCTGGTGTAATATTAGGTAATGTCGATTTCACCGTCACATACTAGTCATAATTACCGTAAGTTGAATTTTCGTATTTTGAAATTATCGCTCAGTATTAAATATATAATTTTTTTGTAATAATTTCGTAGGGTTTAATTCAATCAGTTTTACTTAAAAACTATAAAAATTCATACATAATAATACATATGGTGATAAAGACAAAATTATATCCAACGAGGTTTAAAATACGGTCATAAAAATTGTAAAAATTTTGCATTGAACTGAAAGGGTTATATCAGAGTAAAGTAAGAGCAAAAGTGGTTTATTAAATAATGTCTACATACAATTACGTAGAAACATTATTTTGATATTTTTTTACGAATAGGTCAGTACAAATTTTATGACTATATTGCCAGATAGACCAGATAGCGCAGTGTCGAGTCGCCTTTAACAAAAAGGAGTCACTTCTATGCTGGCGAACGATTAATTCAGAAATTCAAAAAAGATTGTTAAAGGTGTGTATTTATAACGCGGCGCTGTACGGGTGCGAAACATTGACGGTGGGCGCGGCGGAAAAAAAAGGTGAGGCTAATGAAGAGATATTAAAAAGAATAGGAGAATACAGGACTCTATGGAAGTCAATAAGAAATAGGCGAGATAAGTAAGTAGGACACCTTTTCAGGCATGAAGGTCTAGTCAAAGACATATTAGAGGCGGAAACAGGAGTTAAGAGGAGTAGAGGTGGACCTAGATTAGATTACTGTTCGCAAATAGTTAAGGATGTGGGTTGTTCTAGTTTTAGGGAAACACCAAGTTCAGGTCAGGTCAGGAAAGAGTGGAGGTGCGTGTCCAACCAGTCTTAGGTCTGACGACCTTATAATGATGATGACCACATTGAAAACTTAGTTCAAAATAATTTTAATCTTCCTATCACTGGGTAGTGTTCTTTCGAACAGGGGTTGCACATACAAAAAAAAAGAAACGAATAGAACAAAATTCTTACCTTTACCACAGGTGTTGCACTGGAATTTTCTTTCATCGGTGTGGGTCGGGAGGTGTCTCATGAGGGTATACTGATGACCGAATTCTTTCGAACCTATATTATCAATAACATTGTTTTTCAAGCATCGTATGTTATATACATTTTAAAGACCAATAGGAGATCTATAAAGAAGTGTTTGAAAATCTTTTATCGAAAAGAATAAGGTGCAGATATTATAAATTAAATGCTTATTGAAATGGAGCGATGATAAAAGTTCGAATGAGATAAATCTTCTGTACTCAGATTGCTTGAAAGTGGAAAAACATCAAACTTTATAACAGCGTAAAATTAAATTCGGAGAACCAAAAAGAAATAACTGTCATGAGAATATTTTATTCGCGTCATATTAACCTTTGATTGCATTACTTTGGATTAAGGATTAAATTTTAGCATTAATAGCTCAACTTACAAATTCCGCATTCGTAAACTTTGGAATGCCTCCCATCTTGTATTTTGTACTTGACAAAATGGGTCATATTCCTGTCAGTTTTCATCTGGTCCATTTTATAAAAGCTTCCAACGTCAATGGGGAGTTTGGTGAAGTTTTCCCCCGTGAGCGTTTGATTCATTTGAGGGTCATTCAATTGTTGAATGTTGAACGAAGAGTTCTCCATCAAAGCGTCACCGTCCACAATGTCCTCCACCATCCGAAAGTTGCTGGAGTCTCTGGAGAACTCTTCCATCTCAGCCGAAGTCAGTAGAAGAATATCTTCATCCACTATTGCTTCTTCTTTTATATTGACATCGCTTAAAGGAGAAGCAAACAAAGAAAATTGATAATGGAAAGGGCAGGAATAAAACAGGATTTTAGAAAAAAGAATGAGCATGGGATTAAATCCAGTTGAGAGATCTTAGTTGTTGTAGACCCCTAAATATAATTTGATTCCTAATGAGAATATCTAGGTGCAGATTTGTTGCCCTACATCACTATTTTTAACCCTAATTATTACCTACAGTTACTACAATACAACAGTGCTTTAGTTTGCCAAAAGAGATTATTCAATTAACTTGCTGTCTACAACAGACAGAATATTTACTTGGACTTTCTTTGCTGTTTCTGTACATGTTTGACAAGTACCACTACATTCTACCTTTATTTCAATTATCCAACACTTTATTGAATCTAAAATCCCTTTTCAAGTTTCTTAACAATTACATCCTTTAAAACGGTGTAGCCTCTTGTCCAATTTATGTTCGTACCTTACACTTCACCTTATGTAATAGAGTACCTATGTCTGATGTCATTAGTCTTTATTAAGGGATAAGTAAATTGTGCAAGATAGTCCCAGCCTTCTATTCGTCATGAACTACCCCAGCTCTTTCACTCCAAACCCCAATTATCTAATTACAAGCGTGTTACCCTACTAATTTTGGGTAAGAAGCGTTTTATTGCCAAAATTGAATTGCTGTCATACTCAACCAATTAAATGAGGAAGAGTGTAGAGAAAGTGTTGTAAAATAATTTCTTGCAAACAGTTAACAATTAATGTAAATACCTAAATGCTTTAATTACTGTATTTTGTATGTTTTAACTATGTTTACGTTTTTAACAGAATTATATTTATTTAATTACAATAAAGTAAAAGTACTTACAAATACTGTTAGATAATTTTCTTTCATTTTCAAAAAAACTTCCCTAAAGCGAACAACAAAACCACCAGGTATTAAACAGTTTTAAAAGTACGTTTACACATAAGCAAAACACTTTCAACTGATGTGTCGGTTCAAAGATAACGTTTTTCGCAGATGTATGCGAAAAAAATCAATGCAGTTCCATGAAAGTGTATCTGCATTTAAAATTGTACATTCTCCTCTGTTTCTAAGAAGCTGAGGGCGAGGCGTTTTCATTGAAATATCACCGAACATAGCAAACAGATTGACTTTTAGGGCAGTATTTATGGAAGCTACAGTCGGTTATGATGTTCTCTTTATCTTAAATTTGAAACTTATTAGTAAATGCAATCCTCATTAATTAAAAGTCGGTGATTGTTTAGTTTAAAAGATGCAAAGTGAGTTCAAAGATGAAAGTTTGTGTTTTTAGTGTTGTTACTATGCAGATTTCGCATGGAAAGTTACCATGTTACTTGGGATTTCAGCAAAAGTTGTTACAAAAATAGTTTCTTGAGTAAAACAAGAGGTAAATTAGAAATTAATATGCTGAAACTGAAATTCCTTGCTCCTGGATTTAATAAACGGTCCCTTTCTACGTGGAATTTAAAATGGCTATCGCGTTGCTAAACGAAAAGTTTACATTGCGTACTATTTTTACTTACCTTGAAGGTAAATTGTTGTCTTTCGTTGCTGTGAAATCGACGTCTTTGAAGATGTAATGGGCATTATCCATATTTTTCGTTTACTTATTTGCGAACGAGGTCAAAAACGTTGTCGGCGTCGATGGGCGTGGATGCGGTCATCAAAAAAATAACATGTTGCACATGTAAGCGCTGCACTTCCCGATTCAAATGCACAATTTTGCGGTGTTTTTTTGTTTGTACAATTATTAGATTTTTATAAAATTAATTCTTCCTTGAAATCTNAACAAAATCAATTATTAGATTTTTATAAAATTAATTCTTCCTTGAAATCTTTATTCTTTTTTTAAAAACAAAAACTGCCGATTAACTGTCTTTTCAAAAATATTTTTTAGTAGAGTGACAGTCGCTTGACTAGTCGTCGTTGTTTCCGGCCCAGATCACTTGACCGACGCCATACAAAATTTGAATTCAAATATTGTCACTTAGTAGGTTCGATAAAAAGCAACCTTTTTTATAAAAACATTTTTAATTAACTAAATATTAAACAATTATATAATTAGATAGTTACATAAAATTCGAGTTTAACCAATCAATATTCGTTTTTAAAATGTTAATCATTATAACAGAATATATATTTAAACATAAAATAAACATCAGGAATTTGCTTATAACATTTATCTATTACATGAAGCTAGATAATTAAAATTTATTCATAAGGGGTTGAGGAAAATTATTCGTACGTTAGATATCGTATTTATTACAATAGATATTTTTTATAAGTGCTTTAATTAAGTAGTAGTTAGTCTTCACGTTTTGAAATAGGTAGCAAATTATCAATTTCTGCCATTTTTGTAAATAATCATAAAATATAGTGTTGATGTAATAAATAATTTTTAAATGTGTCTAGTACATGATGAATTTCAGTCCGTGTGTATACAAAATGCAGTAACTAAGTCACATTATGCCTATATAGTACCAAAAAAAAGAAAAAGCCCCAAAAATACAACTTTAGATGGTATGCAGGTGAAGTTTTTGATTAGCTTATATTTTGTCTATAGGAAAATCTGGAAAACTTATGTGAATTCCAGTGGCGTAGTTTCCGTAAAAATAAAATTTTAATTGGATGGCAGTTTAGTGAAAATTCTTTTGATATAGATAATTAAATTAAATGTACCTACCTTCGTCTAATTTTGCATACTGAATTGATATAAAAAGTTTATCTAAATTGATTGAACTTGGCTACTTTGATAGATATAAAGTGTGCACTCTCCATTTGTAAGAGAAATTGTACACTATAATATTATAATCGTTATATTTTACGAATTAAGTTTTCCCATTATTTTCGAAAGCTTTCCAAAGCTCATTTGATTATCTTGGAATATGTAAATTCGTACAAAGTAATTCTTATTTGATTTTAGATTTGAATTATAGTTATATTAATAATAATAATAATATGCTGGGTACAGGATGTTGTCAATAAAATTTTAGTTCCGGGCAGAACCGGACGTAGCACAGGTGCCATAACCTATAATTTTTTCCATTTGATATCTGTCGTTTATCGCTTTGGCAAAGAATCGATTTAGACGCTCTTATAGAAAGATATTATGAGAAACAAGACGAGAGACATTGGATAAGAGTAGTGTACGTAGGAAGCGGGAGGGTTAGGGGTAAAGAGGATGGGAATGTATCGGGAACTAAGAGAACCGAAACAAGTAGCTTAACGAGGCTAAGAGCGATAAAGTACATTGATTTATGCCTAATATATCAGTCCTTTTGGCACCACTTGCCTCCCTTATTGTTGTAGTGAGCGCCTTCTCCCGTTCCCGAAACAAATTCTTGGCATGCATCCGCATTTTCGTTATTTTGTCATCGAAGATGGCGTTACTGTTGTTTGTGGGTATGTTGACGTTACAGTAGTTCTGGTCGCAACAAGAGACGCACATCTGCAACAAAACATTAACCCGGTATTAGCATCCGATCGACCTAATACTAACACTGAGTTAGCATTTGCATAGCACTGCGTGGTGGTAACTTATTTTCCTTTAAGGGGAATATCGTTTGAAACGTCAAGTAATAAGAAACTGAAAAATATTTTTGTCGGAATTTTAAATCGTGTCTGACTGAATCGACTTCAGTAGCCACCAATACCCTACAGATGGCGATGCACTATCTTTATTTAGATATTACATCAACATGCTCTTTAGAAGCATTTTCGGTTAGGTCAATAATTTATTTATTATCGAGCGGCATGACCTAGAGGTTTAGTTCATTGTTTAGTATTTGGGAGGACGCTGGTTCGATTCTGGGTCCATCTACAAGTTTTTCTGTGGTTTTCTTAGATCCACAGATAATCTTTCATTCTCTTCTGTCTTCATTTCATTCGTCTCATCTTTCTCACCCGATTACGCCCTCTTCCCCCTTTCAGGAGGGAGTGCCCGCCCACCAGAATTACTGACTGATGGGAGTGAAACATTTTCCAATAAATTATTAAGACCGTCTAACTAATGAGGTTTAATAACTGAACTCAAAATCGCGATACGTATTTGGTACTTTCCACAAATTTAAACGTTGCTATTTAGATAAATATATTGTTGAATGTATACTCCATAAACATGTCTCCCTTTCGAGTCAATTAAATATAAGTTTCGGTTGTATTTGAAATGTTTTATTCCCCGAAAATAATTGGCTGGCCCCTTTGACATTAAAAGAGAGAATGGCAATTGTATTAACGCTAAAAAGTTATTTTGTTATTAGATTGAGGAAAGATATGAAAAACAAAATTGAAAATATTTCATCACGAACGGCTTTAGAAACGGAAAATCTATCAACGTCTTTATGATAAAGTCATTTCCCATTTGAAAATAACAAAAAGTGACGGGCTTAGTTCCTCTATCTCATAAAGAACCTCTTTATATTATAGACTAGTTTTATTACAAAACTTTTATAAGAAACTTCGTTCGCTTAGGTACTCTCCGTTACAATTCTTCATTTAAATCGTCCTTTCATACTTTAGATAAACTACAGTCGGAGAAATTGAACAGGAACGAGAAACAAAATGGACTATTTTATAGGTTAGCTAATAATGCTGGTTTAGTTGGTTATATCTTGTGATAAACAAATCAACCTATAGGTACATATTTTTCAAATTAATTGTACTTAAAACCTTGCATACATTAATTTTACAAGCAACGGTGACAATAAGTTTAGAAAACGTAATAAACGCCATCTATGGAGATCCGCTACTCATTGTGGGACTCGTTAATAATGTTCAACAATATTCTTTCTAATTTAGAATATCGACTTGTTAATTTTGAAAGGACTTTAGATACTGAATATAAACGAAACAAAAAGTAGCAAATCTCAGCAGATGGCGTTCACTACGCTATTTCCACTTACTGGTTGAACTTAATAGCAAGTAGAACTTATAAATTACGACCTAACAAAGTCAGAATTTGTAATATTGAACAGAGCGGTAAAAGTGTGTGCTACCCTCAAAACTTATTGTTATTTGACTTTTCAAATTCATATATTAATAGATATTATTGAGCACTTACAGTTTGATTATCAACTTCAACACAGCCAACTTTGGTTCTCGAACACTCCCTATCAGTCGTGCATTTTTTGTTGACCAGCACAGTCGTACCTTTCGAATCCATTATGTGGAGGCTATGACAGAACGTTTCTCCTAAAATAAATAGAAATTAATTAATTCAACCAGTTATTAAATTAAATTAATTATTGAAGAACCAGAATGGTGACCATCTTTTTTACTTGACGGATGTTTAAATGTATTTTACACAGAATATTATTAGAAAGTAGGAGTTCTGACCAGCAATGTAATCACTATATAGTATAAAACAAAGTCGCTTCCCGCTGTTTGTCCCTATGTATGATTAGATCTTTAAAACTACGCAACGGATTTTGATGCGGTTTTTTTTAAAAGATAGAGTGATTCAAGAGGAAGGTTTATATGTATAATACATGCATAATATACTAAGGAAACACTGATAATTTTAGAGGTTTCTAATGTGATGTCGTAAATAAACACATTTTTTGCACTTACATTGCAAACACTGGCTGAACCCTACGAGATAGATCAAATTAATGTACTACAATTGTATATCTTAAAAGGGCTTACAAAAAAGTCCGTGATGGTATATGTCTATCTCTTAGGGATAACCCACAATAACCATTTTTATCCTTTACTTTTTATGAGAAATAATAACTTATTTACGAAGCGATTGTAGGCAATACAGCATGAATCCTTATCCAATTAAGTACTTTTAAATACATTGTGTATTTAATATAGGTCAATATGCTCTTTACAGCATGTAATTTAAATGAATATTTTCGAAGATATTAGAGATTTAAAATGCAGGGACATGCGGTTGCGACGGTACCGGCCGGGGGGCCGGTTTGTATTACCTAATGACAAAAAAAAAAGTTGTATATAAAGACATTCAATAGTATATTAAGTATCAGCATTGCACTCTTGCGAAGCTGGGACGGGTCGCTAGTATTCAATAAAACAAGAATCATTAAAATCGGTAATTTTTTGTTTTTTTTCGCCAATTATGGCAAATTGTAGATACATGCGGCATATATCAAGTTAAAGATCTCAACATGCTACGTTCATTAAAAAAGAGTGCGGGGCGACAGGCCACACGGCTCATGCTTGTGTGACTTGTATTTTTCAAATTTTTACTATTACGAGAACATTNGTTTATGTTTATCTATAGCCTTTTCGAATGAAAGAGTGTGTTTCTTCGATCGCTTTTCACTTTAACGTGTTTTCTTACATACTGAAGATGAATACGTAGGCAATTCTTCATAAAAACATTAGGTGGGCATTTAGGGGTAGATATGATGAAGAAGCGATTCATATTTTAGGTTTTGCTCATTCTCCATTATTCAGCGACGTCTCTCACATACATATGTAACCGTTCGTAAACAAACCAGGAAACGGAAATTGGTGACAAAAACCATCTTGAAACTAGGGTTGCTTTAGTGGCAAATAATCACAATCGTAGCAAAAACGTCCTAATCCTGTCGCTTCCCTTCATCCCTACGAATTATCGCTCTTGTTTTTATTTGGCACCCCATATTTCAACAGCTCGGATAGAATAGTTGGTAATAACGTTTCCTATTCGCTTAACATTGATTTTGAAACTTTCTATTTCGAATCGGGGGCGGCTGATGTATAACTGCTGTAGGGTTCCCAGAAAACTTTTTTAAATTAATTATTGAACAGGGCCGCTACTACATCATTTGCTAACTTAAAATTGCGAATTTAGACAGACGTGTGAGCTGCATTCGACGCAGCTATAGGGTTGTTCGGAAAGTCATATCGTTTTTTCCCGACAGAGAATTTAATTGTATTCTTTTGCACCCAACTTCACATTTAAGCCGTATAATTTTTATATGCTTTGAGAGCTCATATAGCAAGGCTTGTGTGTGAAAAATTCCAATTAATTCTACGCAGTAGTTTTTGGTTGGTGCCCTTTTAAATATGGAGAGCGATAAGCAGCATTTTCGACATATCTTACTGTTTTACTACAGAAAGGGTAAAAATGCTGTTCAAGCCAGAAAGAAATTGACTGATGTGTATGGAGAAGGTGTGTTGACAGTACGCCAGTGCCAGAACTGGTTCGCTAAATTTCGATCCGGCAATTTTGATGTCGAAGATGCACCACGTTCGGGAAGGCCGGTTGAAGCTGATAAAGACGCGATAAAGGCATTAGTTGATGTGAACCGGCGAATAACAACACGTGAGATCGGATTGAGGTTAAATTTATCAAATTCAACAGTTTATGACCACTTGAAAGGCCTGGGATTATCCTCGAAGCTCGATGTATGGGTTCCCCATGTTCTCACAGAGAGAAATCTGTGTCGCCGCATTGACGTCTGCGATTCGCTTCTCAAACGTCACGAAAATGATCCGTTTTTGAAGCGCATCATCACTGGGGACGAAAAATGGGTTGTATACAACAACGTCAAACGCAAGAGGTCATGGAGCAAAAAAGATGAACCGGCTCAAACCATTTCCAAAGCCGATATTCACCAAAAAAAGGTGATGCTGTCTGTTTGGTGGGATTTTAAAGGAATCGTTTTTTTTTAGCTTTTACCGGATAACACAACGATTAATTCGGAAGTCTACTGTCATCAGCTGGACAAACTGAATGATGCACTTCAACAGAAAAGGTCAGAACTAATCAACAGGAAAGGTGTAGTGTTTCACCAAGACAACGCGAGACCTCACACAAGTTTGGTCACTCGCCAAAAGCTTTTACAGCTTGAATGGGATACAATGCTACACCCACCATATTCTCCAGACCTGGCACCATCGGATTATTATTTGTTCCGGTCACTCCAAAATTTTTTAGACGGTAAAACCTTCACCTCAAATGAGGAGGTCAAAAACCTCCTCGATCAGTTTTTTGCCAGCAAAGACCAAAAATTTTATGAGCGTGGAATTATGCTACTACCAGAAAGATGGCAAAAGGTGTTGGACCAGAACGGTCAATATATAATTTAATAAAGTATTTGTTTATTATACGAAAACTGTCTTTCATTTCCATAAAAAAAAACGAAATAACTTTCCGAACAACCCTATAGTTTGTGTGCAGAACTTCTGCTTAATTTCATCATTACTTTAAATGCAAATAAATTATTTATTTTCGACGTTATTCAAAACTGTTAATAAGCTATAATAAAACTTTAGGATGGCTCAAACTAATCAGGTAATAAAAGTGTCACAAAGCTTCGTTATCTTCACTAAACCAGAAGAAGCAGATGTGTAACAAAACAACATGATTGCGAGTTACAAATTCGTGAAACATTTACTAGGTAATTGTACTGTTTAATTTCAATATTTTCAATAACTTCTTTATTTGAAATTATATCTATATACATCTACTTAATTTTATACTCGATAAGTATTATGTACGTTTAAATAATTTAAAGAAACCGTCCAAAAGAACTCACAAATGCAGCAAACATACACTAGAAGGATAAAAGCTGAATAGAATGAAATTATTCTGGTTCATTTAAACCGCCATTACCACTATCTAGTGAACCCGAAAATAATCTAATTTAAGGGTAAATAGAGCAGGCTTCACTTGGTACTAATCTTAGCGGCTCAAATCAGTTTTATTTTTCTCTGGATTTCCGAGTAGGTAGTTATTTTCCTTTATTCGTCCTTTTTTTGTCGTTTTTCCAAATTAGTCAGTGACATTTATGAGGTCACAGCCTAAACGTTGTGAGGACCTTTATTTAACAAAAATTTGTCCAGCTGTACTCATCAATCGAGTTATGTAAAGGTAGTTTAGAATGGCATGAACCTTCAGGTGCGCAAGAGGCGGTCCTGCTTTTGTTTTGACTCGCCTGTTATTGGGATTGAGTTACAATACTTCTAAGAGATATGTAGACATGTAGAAATCTTCGACCAATAGAGTTTTATAAACTAATAGATTTTAAATATGCCTATGTAGGCATATTTTTTTATTGGATTTCTAAAGTTTATACTAATTCAGTGAAATAATCTTTACAATGTGGGCTTGTGATATACAATGATGATGAGCCGAAACGATTTGAGCATAAAAACAAGGAAACTTTCTGGAACACATTTTAACCCTTTAAAAAGTCTGAAGTTGTCAGTTCTTTGTCACTTTGACTTCTGCGAACTTTCCCTTTAATTAGGACAAAGAAATAAAAGAATAAAAAAGACAAAATTGAAACGACTTTACAGGTTTATATTTAACCATGCAAATGGAAAAATCTAAAGACTTACTTAATTTTAAAATTATTTAAAAAAAAAGCTTCTGGACGATTAATAAAGGTTTAATAACTCGAAAAATTAGTATCTGTAGTAAAGCTCAAGTCATTGGTTGTCGCTTGTACCAATGGCATAAACCGATGAAGGTACTGGAGGGGAACTGAATTTCTGTCTTCCCCACCAGTTACTAACTCACTTTGGGCGTAGCCTACTAAGCCCCTTCTATAACTTACATAAGTTATTGGTTGAAAATGGACCCTCTGATGGAATCATTTTGAACAACGAACAAATCAATTTCTCTAAATTTATTTGGCACATTTTGATTTTTGGCATGCCTATATAAGTATATCAAACAATTTACAACTAAAACAATTGTTCGCCATCTTAGAAACGTCCACCATGTTAGATTTTAAGTATTTTCAAAAAAACGGAGCGGGACGTTGGAAAGGATACCGACTGTTTACTTTATAACAGAAAAATTGTGAAAAATCTTCCTGATATTAAGCAGTTGTTATTCATAATAAATTGATAATTTTTAAATAAAAAAGCAATAATCAAAATATTTCATTGTGAAATCAGCATTTTTTGCTAATTCGTCTGATAGTTTAGTACTACAATTTAAAACTTGTAATGGTTTTAATCCTTTAACTAATTTTTTTGAATCTTTAGCCGGTTCATTGATATAACGGCCTCTTGATGCCACAGGGACGGACCTAGGTTCAATCCCAGGCCGATTTCAATTATTTTTTCTTCTGAATTTGTATTTAAGTATTTATCTTGTTCATTGATATAATTGTTTCTTGATGCCACAGGGACGGACCTAGGTTCAATCCCAGGCCGATTTCAATTATTTTTTCTTCTGAATTTGTATTTAAGTATTTATCTTGTTCATTGATATAATTGTTTCTTGA